ATGTATACATAAATCCTTTGGACATAAACTGTTGACCAAGTCTGAGACTAAGACTGGATCCAGCTGCACCTAGACTCCTCTGAGAAAGAGCTTGGAAAGCAGGTGGGTCCCAGGGTGGGGGGTCCAATCTGAACCTCATGACTTGACAGGAAGGTCTGCTTCAAACTTTTATCTGACACTGTCTTCCATGGAGTAAATAACTGAGTGAACTTTTCCATCAGCTCTCATTAAATCATTGTCTTATTTACAACTGAATGCTGTTAAGTCACTATCTTACCTCAATAACCATGCTGCTGTTTCTCTGTTACAAGTGAAGTGTATCATTCCCCCCTCATCCACAACAACAGCACAGACATCATGAGAGCTGCTGCGGGGCTGGAGGAGGAGGCCAGAGTGAGAAAACTCAGGCCAGGGTCAACCTGGAACACCCTAAAGCAGGAAAGGAGACCAAGATGGGTCTTGCCGACAGCAGGTTTCATCCTACGGGCTTTGATCCCACTTGACAGGACTAAGTGGAAAGGGCATTTCTCTGCTGGTTGCTTCTCCCCAAAGCACAGAAGGGTTGATGTTGGCAAGGACCTCTGGTGGTCATCTAGTCCAATTCCTCCACCCCACCCCAGCAAAATCAGCTGGAACAGGAGGCACAGGATGATGTCCAGTCATGTTCTAAACACCTCCAAGGGTGGAGGAGACTCCACAACCTCTCTGAACAATCTGCTCCAGTCCTAGATTACCCTTGCAGTAAGGGAAAAAAAAAAAAAAGTTTTCTTATGTTTAGTTGCAATTGCCTGCATATCAGTGTGAGCCCATTGCCTCTCATCCCATCACTGGACACCACTGAAAAAGGCTCTGCTGTGTGCTCTTTCACATACTAATGCTCATAGCTTAGATGTCCTCCTGATCCCTCTCTTCTCTGGACTAAACAATCTCAGCTCTCTGTGTTCTGTCATATAACAGATGCTCCAGCACCTTCATCATCTTTTTGTCTCTTTGTAATGGTGTTCAGGATGAGCTGCTCCTTTCCTGGGATGGAGATGAAAATGACTGGGCCTTAGTTCCGTGGGTCTTCCTTCCTTTCTTCTTGCAGTGACATTCATGTTCTTCCATCTTCAGGTACCTTTTCTGATCATAATGACCTTTCATAGATAATTGAGAATGGCCTTTCCATGACATTGTCCCGCCTCCTCAGTTCTTGTGGGCACATCCGATAGTACCCATGGACTTATCTATGTCCAGTTTACATAAGTGATCTTTAGCCCAATCCTCCTCCATCAAGGGAAAGTTGTCTTTTTTTCAAGACTTTGTCCCTGATTTCTAAGGGACAGTCTTACTCGCAAAGACTGAGGCAAAGGAGGCATTCTGTACCTCTGCCTTTTCTGTATCATTTGTTACGAGAGCCCCTGCCCCATCCAGCAGTGGGCCCACATTTCCCCCACTCTTCCTTTTATTACTGGCATATTTATGGAAGTCATTCTTACTCTTGACATCCCTCACAAGATTAAACTCCAGGTGGGCCTTGACCTTCCTAGCACCAGCCATGCATACTGAAGCAGCTTCCCTATATCCCTCCTAGGTTACCTGTCCCAGTTTCCACCTTCTGTATAGGAAGTTTTTCTTGATGCTCTTCAGCAGCCTCCTAGTTTGTTCATGCTTTGCTGATATCAGGGTGACTGCAGTCCCTCATGAGAACCTGGGCCTGCGATCATGAGTCTACTTCCAGCTGTCTGTATAAGGCCTCATCAAGTGCCTCTTCCTGATCAGGTGGCCTTTAGCAAACACCCATAGCAGCGTCACCTGTATTGGTCTGCCCTTCATCTTTGCCCACAAGTTCACAGACAGCTCATCATCCACCCTCGGCAGAGCTCCTTATATTCCAGCTGCTCTCACACGTAACACATGAATCCCGCTCCTCGTTTTCCTGGCCTTTCCTTCCTGAAGAGCCTGTGTCCATCCATGTAGCCTTCTGGTTGTCCCACCACGCCTCAGTGATCGCAATGCGATTATACACCCGCAGCTGCACACAGAACTCTAACTCCTCCTGTTTATTCCCTATGCTGCATGAAGTGCCTGAGCACAAGCACTTCAGAGAGGTATCAGAACATGCTGATTTCCCAGAAGGTACTAGAGGTCTCCCCATAGTCTTGTCTTGTAGGTGCCTCCTTGCCTTTATGCAAACGCTTGAAGTAATCCCACCTAAGCCCTGTTTTGTTGATAGTGTCATGCCCCCTGTAACTCTCCCTCTCCCCTTCTTTCCTAGTTTCTTGCAACTGAAGAGCTACCTTTGCAAGCCTCTCCCTCAAGATTCTTGCAGGGTTAAAAGTCACTTCTACTGAGCCTAGAAGAGCCTAGAATAAACACATTCTCTTCTTCAAGTAGGTAAGGTATACCAGAGAGCACCTGGGGGATTTGCTGGTGTTTGCATCTTACCAAGCATTGGATGTCTGGCACAGATTGTTGTCTTTGAGCTCTAGCACATGGAGAGCAGCAAGGGCAGGACCTCCTCATCACAGGACCCTTGTAGGCATCCCTATCAGTGCACTACCTGGAGCAACAACTGTACTGGCAACCAGATCTCCTTGATAATTCAGGCATGCAAGCAGGTTGCAGTTGCTGGTGATGTTCCAAACAAAAGAGTCCTTTGGAGGGGAAATTCATCCTGCATTATTGCCAGTTCCGCCAGAGTAGCTATCACTTCAAACTGGGTCTGGGTCAGACCAGCAGAGTCTTATCTCCTCTGCTCCAGACTATCTTCTCTGGTCACTGGGATATGGTATTTTGGAGAAGAGAGCCAATGCATTGCCAACAGATCAGTCAGGAACACCTTCCTCCTTCCAGCAGGAGCATCAGGAAGCATCCACATCCCCACAGCACCAACAATATCAGTCAGTGAGCACCTCTGCTCCTCCCATCCCGCCCTTCTGGGCTGGTCATTGGTAAGCAAAGGTGCAAGGGAACCCTTGACATGCCATTAGTTACTATGAGAAATCACCTTGTGCATGTGAGAGAATGGAAAGAAGCAGGGCAAGGTGGAAACTATCTCAAGGGTCATCTCTGTGCAAGGAAGGAGGAGAGAGTTTTTGCTGCCACATCAGCAGGCCTCATGGTGTGCAGGACATCTGAGACATAAGGTTTAAATTTGGTATTTCTCACCATGTGACTGTGTCACTGAATGCTAATTTGCCCCAAACTGTTGCAAGAAAGATAGGGCCATTTCTCTGGACAGCTGCTATGGCTATGCTGTAGCCTTGTGCCTCTGCACCAAGCCTGAATTCATCATCATGGGGAGAGTGTCACTTGCATGCAGCTCTCAGATCTCTGCTTCCCTCCTGCAGTGGAATTATTGATTCCTTGCTGCTGCAAATAACATGACTTTTCATCTCTGTGCACCTACATCCAACCAAAGGTTTATTGGTAGCATGTGAAGGGCTATGTCACACACTTCTTTCTCACCTGCTATTATTTCCAAACAAAAATTTCAGAGCATAAATATGTGTCAGTCCTTACACAGCTAACCTCCTATTATTACATTTCTTTTTACTCTTATCACTTTGGTCCTTGAGGTTCCCCAGTCCCTCCACTGTCAAAAGCAAATCCCTGTCTGTGCTGGTGCTAGCTCTACTGTAACTCTTTAGCAGACTCTTGCCTCTGTTATCAGTTTGCAGCAATCAGTGCGGTCTTGGGCAGAGTCCTCCCTCTTGCACCTCTGCCATGCAAAATCATCACCTGCCTTGATGCTGCAGAAGGTCACACACAGGACTTTGCAGTTCAACAAGCATGTCACACACTCTGTAATGAGGGCGAGCTGGAAAAGTAGGCAGTTTAGGGTAACATTGCTCATCACTCAGCTGGGTCTCACTCCATTCTAGGCCCTGCCCAGCCTCCTTCAGGCCAGTGCAGCACTGCTCAGTAAGTTGGTCTCTTCTTGCACCAAAAGGTTTTGGTTTGAGGCTGGCTGTAGCGAGAGAGGCAGTCTCAAATTTCCAGAAAAACTGAATGATACAATCCTTATGCAATTGTCAAGTGTGGGAAAAACAAGTAAACTCCTCACATCCTTGTTAAAGGATATGTTGATCCGGGAGGCTACTGGAAATCAGAATCACATGCAGCCGCATCCAGGATGGAGTAAAAAGTTCAGATGCCTTTGTGCTAGACAAAGGTGAGTGAGTTTTTGACTGAAAGTTCTTCTCTCAATATTAAAAACAAAAGGTTGAAAATTTGGAGAGGAAAGAGAAATGAATCAGAACTAACAGTGATGATAGGCTTCAGTGAAATGATTAAAAAGATCTTAATCTACGTAGAATGTATTGAAACAAAGATTGAGGCTGATCACAGTGTGCAAGCACTTCAATAAAGTGCTATTGCAATCGATGCTCACTAACCTGAAAGAGAAAGACTTATTGAGGATGAATGAAATGGAGCTGACATTTAAGCAATTCCAACAGGAAATAGGGAGCACAGTTTTAAATAGTTTACTTTGGGTAAATAGTCATAAGAAAAAAAAAAAAACATCCCAACAGAAGCAACGAATTCTCCATTGCACAACACTTTAAAATTGTGATTGAAACTTGATAGAGAAATTAAAAGTAGAGGAATGGATGCAGGCCGAGAGGTGACGACAGAGCAAGCTGGCACCATAAGCACATCTAAATGGAGGCAAAGAGCAAGTGAGCTGGGATGCTTCAGGTCAGAAGGGTGGTCTGGCTGGAGAAACACCCTCCTCGGGGCCAAGAGGCTTTCATATACCTGGACACATGCCAGTCCTTGCTCCTGCTGTGCGCTTCTCTTGCAGTCGGCTCTCCAGTGCTGAAGGGCAGCTCTCTGGGCTCTAAACTCCCGGTGCCTGTGAGACCCCCATCAAGGGAAGCTTCCAACCACTATGTAGGTGGGACCTGAGCTATCCTGTCAATGAAGCAATGGCACAAGGTCCCCTGTTAGCTGTCTCATCTTCACTACATCTTTGCAGTGCTTGTTTCTCACTGCAGACAAACACACCAGGCCCCATGGCAGAGGAGAACCAGAGTCAGGTGACCGAGTTTGTGCTTCTAGGTTTTTCCCAGGAACGGCCCTTCCTCTTCCTCATCTTCCTGGCCATTTACTTGGTCACGGTGCTGGGCAACACTGCAATCCTTGCACTCATCTTCCTGGATTCCCGTCTCCACAGTCCCATGTACTTCTTCCTCAGTCACCTCTCTTGCTTGGATATTTGCTATTCATCAGTCACAGTGCCCAAAATCCTGGTGAACACCCTCCATCTGCAGACAACCATCTCCTACCAGGGGTGCCTGGCTCAGATGTTCTTCTTGATGGGGTGTGCAGGGGCTGAGTGCGCACTCCTGGCCGTCATGGCCTATGACCGCTATGCAGCAGTCTGCCAGCCTCTGCGCTACACTCGTGTCATGCGGTGGGATGTCTGCATGGTGGCAGCTGCCGGCTGCTGGCTCTGGGGAATGCTGGACTCTGCCGTGCACACCTTCCTCGCCTCTAGGTTGTCCTTCTGCGGGGTAGCCCAGGTCCAGCACATCTTCTGCGATGTCCCCCCGCTACTGAGGATTGCCTGCAGCAACACCCGCCCCAGTGAAGTGGCACTCCATGTTGCCAGCATCTTTGTGGGCCTCAGCCCCTTCCTCTTTGTTGTCATCTCCTACCTCCGCATCCTGGTTGCCGTGCTCAGGATGCCAATGGCGGTCAGCCGGCACAAGGCCTTCTCTACGTGTGCTGCACACCTGCTTGTGGTTGTGCTGTATTTCGGAATGGCCAACCTGAACTACAACCGCTCCAGTGCTGGCTACTCGCCGGAGGCAGACACGCTGGTCTCTGTGCTGTACTGCATCGTCATCCCCATGCTGAACCCCATCATCTACAGCCTCCGCAACCAGGAGGTGCGCGGTGCCCTGAGGAAGGTGTTGCAGTGATGGAGGTGCAGGACATGAGCAATGTGAGTGTTGCTTCCACCAGTGCTAAAACAACTCAGCATCACACAGCTGTGGGAAATCCCTGAAGGTAGAAGTGGGTTTAGGGACCCTGCTCAGGAAGGAGATGCTTTCAAGCACACCACCATCCACTGGTCCTGTCTCTGGCACAACACTAATAGCAGAATGGCAAAATAAAGCTGAGAACAAGCTTACCATCCTAGCCTGGTGTTTTTATTTTTTGCATGTTGCATGCTGAGTTCCACACAGGACTCACTGCTGCAGACAGGGGCCAAGCAGCTCAACCCTTAGGGCTGCAAGGGCACCGACAGACGGAGGCAGCTCCTTGGCAGATCAAGACAATAGCAGCACCACTGTCTCAGCCTCTGCTCCCTTTCCCAGAATGGGTATTTAGACACATTTTGAACACTCCTGATATTTTACCTTTTCTATAACTAACTTACACACTGTTGTTTGTGGTATGTCTGGAAGGGCTTTTGGATATGGAGCTATGACAGGCCGACGTGTGCTGCAAAAGGCAATTCCACGGGGCACCAGATATGTTCTGACCCTAAGCATGACCATGAGCTCTGCCTTGAAGTTGCTCATAGCACTGAGCTTGGTCCTGCATGGGGTAAGAGGCAATGGCCCAGAGTGCAAAATCTGGCTCTAGCACAGGTGCTGTTGGTCCAGGGTCCCTCTGCAGAGGCTTTCACACCAGTCCTGCTCTGTTCTCCAGGCTGGATGAAAGCTTTGCAGTGTTTTGCACATTACCATGGCAGCCAGCAGCACAAGCAGACCACCCCTTACTCTCAGCAGTTTTGTCAAACACCCGGTAAGCATCAGGCTGCAAGCTGGCACTGCTCAGCCTCTCATCAGAAGAGTTTGCTTTGCTATATAGCTGCACACACTGGAAATGTGGCGTGAGAGCAGCAGAGCTGTGGCTGCTGACAGCAGAGGGCTGGCTGTCACCTGGGGCAGCCACCCCATCCTAAGACCACTCTCTTGGCTCAACTTCATCAGGCCCCATGGACAGATGGTAAGGGCTTTGCACCAGGGTCCCCACTCAGAGGTTTGCATGGATGCTGTGACATGGCTGGCTAAGCCCACAAGCTTGGTGCCCTATGGCCAGCACCCATCACTGCCCTGGCAGAAGCTGGTTCATGCCCCCATTAGTGCAAGAGACTACATGGGGAGGGAGGCTGACACAGGCTTGGCATTTCTACAGCAGAAACGACGACTGCAGAGGGGTCGGGTGGCTAGAAGAGGCCAAGACCTGCTCAAATGTGACTCACTTCCCAAGGAGCTCCCAGAGAAATCCAGCCTGTTCTCAAAGAGACCTCAAGCAAAAGCACCTTCTGGGACTACAAGGTACGCAGTTTGCTCAAGCAGCTTACCAGCTCTCTTCAGTGCACAACACAGAGTGATTTTATTCTTCATGGGAAAAAAAATGTGCAATCCCTGTGTTGGGTTGGCCTGTTGATTTTCATGTACCTATTTCTGATGGGAAAAAAAATATCGAAATGTCCTTTCTATAAAGTCTCACTAAGACATGTAACAGAGCATTGTTCCAGTCCCCCACCAATAAAGCCTGTTCTGGAGAGACACCTCCCTGCCCCCACCATGGAAGGAAAGCCAGAAAATAAAGGGCGGCCTGCATGAGACAATGCAGGGAAAGCTACTGCAAGGAAAAAACCTCTAGGAAATTCGTACTAGAAAATACCAGTTTCTTACCTGAGTGCACCTTTACCATGATCTTACGGACGTGATTGTACAGTAATGTTTCTCAGGTTCCAACACTGAGAACTGATGCTGTGCTGTGCTTACATGAAGTTTGCCTTACCCGGGTGCAGGAAAGTCCAGAACCACCCCAAGGAAGCGAAATGCACCCAAGCAGGCCACTCTGCCACTGGCATTGTGCAGGGACCTGCTTCTGCAGCTTCTCACAGGCCCCTCATTACTGCTTACTCCGTATATAATGGATTAATCCCTATTGCACGTTTGCACATCCCAAATTAAAACAACTAACTGCAACAGCGGGAGGTCAAGCACATGGCCTGGAATCTACTGGTTTAGGGAAGAACTTCAGCTTGCACAGGATTTCTACTGAATATTGTTTTGCACATGAAAAGGGAACAGTTACACACACATTTTCTCTTCCCTGCTCCCTGTGTGCTCACACTTTTGCCCCATCTGCTGTGGAGAAAGGCTATAAATAGGGAACTTCCTTCCTGTACAGGGAGCTCAGCCTACAAACTGATGGGCTAGGGGCACATGAGAGGGGACTGACTTGAGCACATGGGCTCAGAGAGGCCCGAGGAGAGCGACATGCCTGTCTGTGAGAGCAGGATCCCATGCGCAGGCGGCACCGACAAGTGCAGGAGGCAGCCTCGAGCTGAAGCCCGATACAGCCAGGCCCTATGGGCGCTCTTCATGCTTATTTGTACTATTTGTCAGAGCACCCAATAGCAGTAACACATAGTAGCAATAACAGCACACTCTTGAAAATATTCTGCTGCCTGTAGCCACTGGCAGTTGCTCAGATTCACTTGCTAGACTGAAAGGATTATACTAGCAGAATATTCCTCTCTTACTGGCTTCCTGGGCAGGGACCACATTAGCTTTTAGCTCTTTGCTACATAAAGCTTTTGAAATGTTTTTTTAATCTTGCTCCAAGACTGATTTTCCAGGATCATTCTCAGAAATAATTCTGCACCTCCCCTTTTTTAGAACTTAATCTCAGAAATGACACATCGACCCAGTAATGTTCTTCCCCACGGAGGAAAACCAGACAAGTTATCTGCTGCTTTAGCAAGAGTGTCCTTTATTTTCAGTGAGCCAGCACATACCTCTTCTGTTTTATGGGGTAGCTCAATACATCCAAGCTTGTGTCTGTATGCAGGAAAAATTAGCAAAGTTCATGATGAGGGTGAAATAGCCCCAGGTCCTACCCCTGAAATCTGCCCAGGTGGACAAGGCTCAAGTTCCTCTACCCCGCAGTACAAAGATGATTTGTACTGCATATGTGGAAATCAAATTCTGCACCTCTAGAATCAAAGATGAGTTCAACTTTCACCTTGCTGTTTTCCTTTGACCACTAGATAAGAGGAGGTCCAGAGACATGGTTTGAGACAGTGTGTCTTACTCTACACCTGTAACTTCTGGACTGCTCAAAAGAAGGTGACAAATGACAATTTAAAAGGAAAGGTCCCACATTCATATCTCTTTTGCCTTAATTAGAGCTGGTGCTCTGTGAATTGCCCTGCTGTGAACAGGCATAAACAAACATATTTCCCCTGCAAGTTTGGTGTTTGGCATGTGGAAACAGAAAAACTGGAATAGTCTATAAAGACATCCTATATCTCACCCACACACTCCTGATCCACCCCATCGTTGTCACGAGGACTGCATGAGAAGCAGAACACATCTCGGGCATAGACTAAAACATTCCCTCAAACACTGACAGTTTTCTCATTAGTCTTTCTCTCATCAGACCCACCAGGATAAGCCGAACTTGGCTAATAACATGCAAAAGGATGAAGCAGAGGGGAGCAGAAGTTTGAAAGGAGGCTGCTCAGGCAATGTTGGTCTCATTGCAGAAGCTTCACATAATTGGCTGGAAAGAGGCCTATTTTGCCCCGGCATTGTCCCCGCCACCAGCCTTCATCTACCATTTCGATGTGTGTGATTGTGTCATCAGGATCAAAAGAAATCTCATCATCACCATCTGCAAAATTGATCATAAAAATTGTCATAGTTCGAACATACATAAGCAAGAGAAGGTGCAAGAAAGCCTTGTGAGAGAGATGGTTTTGTGCATACACACACACACACACACACACACACACACACGTGAGGGGAATAAAGAACAGTCAGGCTGATAGGACTCAAAGTTCACAGAATCACAGAATGGTGAAGGTTGGAACGGACCTCTAGAGATCATCTAGTCCAACCCAACTGCTCCAGCAGGGACACCCAGAGCATGTGGCACAAGGTGGCATCCAGGTGGGTTTGGAACATCTCCAGAGAAGGAGCCCCCACAGCCTCTCTGGGCAGCCTGTTCCAGGGTTCTGTCACCCTCACAGTAAAGAAGTTCTTCCCCATATGGAGGTGGAACTTCTGATGTTTCAGCTTACACCCCTTACCCCTCATCTGTCACTGGCCATCACGGAGAAGAGCCTGGCCCCACCCTCCCTACAATCACCCCTCGGGTACTTGAACATGTTGATCAAATCTCCTCTCAGCCTTCTCTTCTGTAGGCTAAACAGACCCAGCTCACTTAGCCTTTCCCATTTGTTAAATGCTCCAGTCCCTTAATCATCTTCATGGCCCTACGCTGGATTCTCTCTAGAAGCTCAATGTCCTTCTTGTACTGGGGAGCCCAGAACTGTTCATCTCATCCGAGCCCTCTCCCTGAAACCAGCACAGATATAGTAGAGGAAATATTAAGACTTCAAAGATTAAAGATGAAAATTCCATATTCCCAAGCTATGTCTCTTTCTGCCTCCCAAGAGCAAGAACAGCCTTGATTTAAACAACTGAGTTGTAATACTTCCATGACCACTGATGGTGTCACCATCTCTCCCACACCGGAGAGCAACTCTCAGTACCTCTCTTGGCAGGCTAACTGCCTTTCCTAAACCCTGGATGACAGACGCACCTCCTTGATAATCGTAGAGAGCTACTGCACATGTCCCGGGGCTCTCCACTTCATAAACGCAGTCTATATTCCCTGCAGAAGACAGGACAGGCAGGTGAGAAAGAAGCTGACAGCAATCACACAGATTTGGTCTGTGCTACCCTCCTGCCGGATGTCACTCTCAGGGAAAACCACATTCAAACCCTGTTAAGGTTTGCTTATTCCTGTTAGAGATGTTTTCCATGGCTCAAAGCAAGGTGTGACTTGTCCCCACTTCTTCAGGGAAAAAGAATGAGACAGTCTAAGCTGATACTTCTTGTTCCTCCTCCAAAGAAAAAAGGCTGGACTTAACTCCAGCCTCCCCCTTTTTCACCCCCAGTGAGGTTGTAACAAGAACCTCAACAGCAGCCTGTGCAATTTGATCACAGCCTGGAGGACGTCTACCCTAACACCTGCACCATCCCTCATCCCATGCTGCCAGACCAGGTCTCACAGTTGGGCTTTGAGCAACAGGCTGAATGTCAGCAACAGGGAAGGCCAAGACCCCAGTGTGGGGCTAGCAGTTCTTTCCTAGGAAACACTGCACCAAGGAAAAGAGCATCACTCCAAGTGCAGCTCCTTCAGGGCCGGCAACAGCCCTCCTCCCCTGCTCCAGCAGAGCGCCTGGCCCAGGACTCAGTGCCATTTATGTCGCACCTCAGAGTGGGGCAAGAGGATCGTAGAGAAACAAGTTCCCATGAATGTGGCCTGCCTCCCTGGCGATGGAGACATGAGGATACAAAAACCCTTTGCTGTCTGTCCCGTACCGCAGGTGCTGAGCAGACAGGAAATGAGCTCCCCAAGGCACAGGCTCTTCCCTCCACACTCACCTGGGCAGGGCTGGCTCTGACTGGGCTCCTCAGCGAGGACCTCCTCATAGTCCTCGCCTGCATCCTCACTGTGGTCATAGGTGGCAGCTGACTTTCCTAAAGGCTCTGGCAGCTCCTCATAGTCAGCACCCATGCTGGTACTGTCACAGTAGTCAGAGGACTCTGGCAGCTCCTCATAGTCCCCACCATCCAAACTCAAACTGTAGATAGGCTGATCTTGGCTGGGGGACTTGCTCAGCTCCTCACCCAGACCTGCTGGCCTTGGTGGCAATGTGGGCGGCATTTCCTCTTCCTGCTCCATTCTTGTGTTCTGCTGTGAAGTGAGAAAGTGACAGTAAAATCAGCCACAGCACCTCCACTGCAAGCGGTTCCCCCATGGCTGCACACTGTCCAGTACAAAGGAGCCTGCTTCCTTGCAGATGCTATATGGTGCAGACGGAGTATCTGTGTGATACTCATGTTTAGAGCTAGTAGCCAGCAAAAACACAAGCCAGCTCAGTAGCTGGGTGTTCCTGAAACCAGAAAACTAGCAGCCCAGAGGGCATTTTGTGCAAACAGTATGCAAACACTGGTGGCATTTAAAAAACCCAGCCAAAAATCAACAGGTAACAAAGCCTCTACACTCCTGACATCTCTCTCAGTTCAGCATATGAGCACTATTGCTGCTACCTATCACTTGTGTTTAGACCTGTCCCACACACTTAGATGCAGTTAAGTACATACCACCCACGTGCACAGTGTAAGGTACTATGCATCTGTGTCCCATCCACATGCCCAATTTTTCCCCCACCCCATTCCTTCCTCCACTGTGGCCGTGCCCTGCTCCTGCCCGTGCAGCTGCCCCATGGAGCACAGTCCCTTGCCCAGAGGAATCCAACCCCTCCTGCCTGCTCCCCTTTCAGCTGACCCAGCCTGCCACAGCACCTGCTCTCCTCGTGACACATTTCCATCTCTGTCAGCTCTCTCAGGGACCTTTGCTGGAATGGCAATAGGGGCTGCCTCTGTGTGGTCCTTGCCCTCTCTCTGTTGGATTTTCTGCTGGAAAAAGAAAATGTCATCATGAGCCCCTCAATCCCACTGAACAACACCCAGAGTAATGCCCATTCCCATTCCTGACGTGGTCACTTTTCCAGCTCCCACAGACCTGTCCTACAAACTGGACACTATCAGGACTGTAACTACTGTGTGGTCTGCAGGAAGTAACCTCAAGAAAGGAATGTATGATGGCCAGCTTTTATCCACACATTAAATGAAGCAACACCACAAAGTAAAAGAAGCTCTTGTAAACAGGAGGGTTTGGACACCACCTCCAGTTTGGAAAACTGTGAATACGGACTGCTAGAATTCACAATATTGTGAATATTGTGTCTGTCCTGCATTTATCAAGCACTAAATTCAAGAAAGAGCCTAGGCTAAGCCACAGAGATCATTTGATACAGAAAGGTGCTGGCCTGCATGCCCAAAGAGGAAAAATGCAGTGCCAACCAGTGAATTCAAGGCCAGCGCCTGGCAGGTATGGGGAGACAATTTAGGCAAGAGGTTATGAGGGCAGACTAAATAGGCGATGACCCATGCTGCCCTGAGGAAAGACCTGTTTTGCAAGCCTGAGCGGCAAGGAAGAGGCCTGTGGCTCACCTGCTGCTGAATCACCTGGCGCTCTCGAGCCTGCCGCCTCATCTTCTCCTCTTCCACCAGCCTCCTGCTCTCCTCATCCGCCAACTTAGCCATGTTTTCAAACCGTGACCGCAGGTTGCTGGTGCCACTAGAAGCTGATGTGGAAAAGAGTGCTGCCCAAGCCTCCCCAATGTCTCACACCCACCTCCCACCCCGACGTGACTAGAGCCAGCTCCAACCTCTGCCTCTCCCAGACAAACCTGCAGCACCGCATCCTCCAGCCTCCAGGCATCTTAGCTGAACCCCCACTTACAGCACATGCGTGCCACTGGGCTGGGGATGTGGGACCTATCATCTCCCACCCAAACATCTCACCTGCCTCCACTGGTCTTGTCTTCTCATATGAGGAGGCTGGAGCTGCCATTTCATTAAATCCAGCGGCACTCTACAAGAATCACAGAATTAACTGAAGTTGGAAAGGGCTTTTGAAGATGATTTAGAATGCATGGCACAGGATCATATCCAGGTGGGTTTTGAAAATTTCCAGAGAAGGAGACTCATCAGCCTCTATGAGCAACCTGCTCCAGGGCTCAGACGGGTTGTGGAAGAACCAAGGTATGTAAAGAGGCAGCAAACAATCTGCACAGTCTGTTAGGCAAGGCCAGTGCTGAGACCTCTGCTCAATCTGGCTGCTGGCCTGCAAGCAAGTCATAGCTTCGCTCCCTGCTGCATCCTCACTGATAAAAGCGCCACAGTCCCATGAAAGGGAGGCTCCTGGCAACAGTAGTGCTCTCCCTTCCAGCCTTCCCACTCCAGCCAAAGGCTGTTCCTGTAAAAGAAGAGTCAAAAAGGCCATATGGAGCTGAGTAGAGACGGCTGGACAGTGGCAAGAGAATGCACAAGGCAGAAGGGCTGGGAGCATGAGTGCTCACAGGGAATGCAGTGAGGGGCCACCAGCCACCTTTTACTAAGGTCTGGGGACCTCATGTACTAGCTGTGCCAGACCCATTCCCTGCGTTCACTTGAGGTGTGCGGTGTGGGAGCAGAGCCCCATCAGGGAAAAAGCTCCTGCTATAGAACCATGAAAATCACAGGGCTCCTCAGTGGGCCGCTGCCTGCAGTACATGCACACAATAGCAGAGGCTGGAACATGTCAAGGAGAAGTTGTGTGCATGAACATGTGAGGTATCGCTGGCTTTACCACATGCAAAGAGGTAACTGACCTGATAATAGCATCAGTGGTGGTGGTTGTAGCAAAAAGAGGGTGAGACTGAATTTTTTTTTTTCCCATACATATTTGCAGTTACTAGACATTAAACTTCAAGATCAGTTGTTTGGTTTTATTTGTGCCTTCCCACCATAAATTATATGTATTACTTTTCCCTCAGGCTCTACTAGCACACATTTTTAAATGCATAGTCATAAATTTTATTCCAGCTATGCAGAGAGATGGAGAAAGACAAAAACTCCAGGAATATTCTTTATCTACCACTGCACTGCCACAGGCAAAAACCTAGATGACAAATTCTAATGCCAAAAGTCACTTAATATAAAAAGGAAACTGCAGGTGGGATACAACTTTCAGATGAGTACAGGAAAAAAAAAGTCACTTAATATAAAAAGGAAACTGCAGGTGGGATACAACTTTCAGATGAGTACAGCTACATTTATATTTGTAATTTGTACATACAGGTGTCACCTGCATGCAGACTGGGTGTCTCAGTTCCTGGAGCCCAGACAGCAGCTCAGTTCACCTCAAAGTAAACAAATCTCAGCACGTAAACAGGACTTCAGGCTCTGCTGAACACTTGGACCAGGTCTCTACAGACCACAGCTGAGACATGTTTACAATTAGGTGTTCCAGTGGGAGAACCCAATCTCACACTTGGTGTTCAAAAAATTGACAAAGGGGAGTTCAAATTGCCTAGGGTAAATTTTGCCCTAAACTGGAGCAATTAATCTAGCGTAACTCCAGTGTGTGAAAAACGGGTAAAAAACCTAGGTACCTATCTGATTAGCCTTAATTTTGCCATCTTTGATTTTGCTTCAGTACTCTCAAGATAAACTCATGGTTCACGTGCAGGTGATCGGGAATTTTTTTACCCTGCCTCGGCACCCTGATCTTCAAAATGACCCACGGCTGTTGACCTTTGCACAAGTGCTCATTTAATTTTATATGCTTTTTTCTGTCCCATATACAATGCCTTGGCCTTTGGCATTGCACCTACACTAGCTGTTGTTAAATTCACAGACAACGCTAATCTTCACTTTTGGGTGACTGTCCATGGGCAGGACACTTCCCACTCTGCTACTGGCAGCCTGCACATGCAGCACTGAAGAGAACATGTTGTATTGCTACAGGTATGTGTTCATCTCCTTCCTTGGCTCAGGACCTTGAAGAAAAATCCTCACCCACTCTGTTCAGCTCTTAACACAACAGCCCCACATGGTTCAGAAGAGGAACCATTCCTGCCTTCCTCAGATGCCCCAAAGTCTACCCACCACACAGGACACTCACCAAGGCTCTGCCCATCCTTGCAGAGCAGGAAACTGAGAGATGGCAGAGTGGGGATAGAAAGGGCCCATCATACACATGCCAAGTGTTCCTAAATTCACTTGTCTGAGTACAACTGAAAGGACTTCACCAATCTGACTCTGCCCACAAACTATTAAATCGAGCCCCAGGGGGAAAGCAAGTTTATGACTTTTCTCTTGCAGCCATGCAGAGATCAGTGGCCATCAGAAGAAAACCGAGGCTCCTGCATGCAGAAACTTACCTTATCCACTCTGTCCTTCTGGACCCCGTAACGGCCTCCAAACCCTTTGGCGTAGTCTATATGGAAAAAGTGAGACTATTGTATAGTATTTTGTATTTTATATGTGCCTGACTTCAGTGCTGCAAATAGTGTCATGAATTAGCTTTGTCTTGAATTGCAAGGCACATCTGTGGGCTAGCTGCATTTTATCACTCCATCAGGAGTGCCACATATTGATCTAAATAGGGAGACTGAAGGCAAGATGCTCTACAAAGTAGGTGTTAGCACTAACTCTCCCAATCTTCGAGTGAACTGCATAGTGTATGGTGCTGCACCCTGGCAAATCTGCTCCCAGGCCCCAGCATAAGAAGTTGCTCATGCCACATGAATGCAAAGTGGATACTTCCACTAAAGCTGGACAAACAGCACTAACGATATTCAAACTATTCCTGGTACCTAATTTGCTTCCTTCCTGTGTGCTTGCTTTTTATGATCAGGAACGTGCCTGATACAGAAAGTGCAGCCTAATTCAGGGACTTGCATTCAATAACTTCCCACTGCTCTAAGAATGCTGTACTTGAGTCCTCTTCCTGGGCAGCAATTGCCCATGTTTGGGGTTCACAGTGCTTCGTCTGCCTGCACCTCCACAACACGCTGTTCCCATTTGTTTCTCCACAGACATATCTCTATCAGGGATGGTGGGCAGCTGCAGGGCAATGCCTGCTCCAAGGAGATCGCACCGCTGCCGCTGGCAGCATTTCCCTACCTGTTTGGGAGGCATGGGGCTGCACATCCTCCTGGTGCTCCCAGCCAAGTGCACTCTTGTCCTGACGATCCCGCTGGACTCCAAATTTCCCACCAAAGCCCATAGAATAGTCTGCAGCCATGTGGATTCAGATCACAGCATGAAAGACAAGGGATGTAAAAAGAAAAGTAGCAGTACCATGAAGTCAGGTCATTTTCATAGTGGAGATGGTTATTTCTGCCCAGGACTCAGGGAGAGATGAGGAATGGAAACAGAGAAAAGACAGACAACAGGGCATAAACAACACCCATCTCTCCTTTTTGGAGCACATCATCTGACACCAATACCTCTCTTGCCTTCCAAAGCACCCATCCTTTAGAGACAAGCGGCCCACAAGACCCAGTGTCCACATAGTACTGTCTCTCCTCTCTGTTCAGTCAGAACTTTCCCAACAATCTTGTAGGGGCCTTGGCCAGCTAGTCGTGGATGTTTCACACTTTCCATGCCTCCCCAATTGCCTTGCAAGCAGTAGATGCCCAATACCTCCCATTGCATTTCTGCCACACATGCAGCAGCAGTCTGAAAGCACAGAACCCCGTGTCCCAGACGGGCACAGTCCCAGACCCAAATCTCCGCAATTCTCATGTCAATGGTTTCCCCCAACTCACCTTTCTGAGAGTCATGCTTCTCTGTCTGGCTCTTGTAGTCAAACCCCACTGCAGTTTTGTCCACTTTGTCCCTTTCCACACCGTAACGGCCACCAAAGCCCTTGGAGTAGTCTGAGGGGATGCATGGAATGAGGTGTTGCCCCAGGCATGAGGTTGGTGAGAGAAAGAGAGAGAGAAGGGGAGCAGCACTGGGAAGGAGCACCAGGAAGGAGGGGGAAGAGAGATGATGGATGGCACCAAAATAAATAAGAGTTTGGAAGGGATAGCATGGAGAGCAGGGAGTACTGTGAGGGCCATTGAAGATGAGGGCCCATGGGAAGGGCAAGGCTTGGATGTGGCAGCAGAAGAGCTCAAAGGCCATGGGGAGCTGGAGACACGCAGCCAGAGAGGGCAAGGAAGGCAAGCAACATGCCAAGGTGTTTGGGGAGGTGATGGGAGTTCAGCTCTCAGAAGCCAAGGCAAAACCTGGGCACTGATGGCCTGGGTATCAGCCCATCCACACACACCTCCAGAGCAAGGATTTCAACCTGTGATTTGCCTGTCTCTGAAAAGGTCTTTGAGTAAGTGCACTGATCTCTTGAACATACAGGACAAATAGACAACTTTTGCTCTGTGACTTTTATCTGCTGTAATGAAATCTCAAAATTTACAAGGCAAATGCTAACTGTGGATATTGAAGCAAAGGTTGAGATCCACATCTCTGGAAACATTCCCCAGTGCCCCTCCTGTCAATCTCTGGCTTGCTCGACTATCATATACTGGAAGCAGAGTACATCTTCCCCTTTTCACATCCTCTAAAGTAGCAGTGTATTAACTAACTTAAGTGCATTCAGTTGTCCTCTCAGGACTCCCAAGTTGCTAGTTTACTGTGTAGCAGCTGCTCAGCAGGATTTACAGAGGAAATGGATAACCCAATCCAAAACTATTTTCTCCTTTGTCTGCTGTCAATCAAGGGAAGGCAGGACTCTCTGCTCAGCCATGACCCCGTTTCCAGCAAGACAAAACACAGAGGCAACAACAGAAATGCAGTGAAATGCCAGCAGGGAACAAGTCAGGGAGGGTAACTGATCAGGAACACAAATTTGAAGTAAGCGATGAGCAGGAGGCAGGCAATAAAGGAGGCCGTCCTGCAGCAGACAGCACAGGACATAGGGAGAAGATGATCAAAGATGAAGATGAGCAGAAAAAAAGATGGGAAAAGTGTTGAGAGATGACACGTGTCTGTGGACTTGCCTTTCTGGGATGAGTGCTTCTCCACCTCACTCTTGTATTCAAACCCCAGTGCTGACTGGAACAAGAAGGGGAGGACATCAGTCATCCTGATGGCCAAGCTGAGGCTCACACATCCTTCTCCAGCACCCTGAGGCCGGGCTAGGACCCTGCTCCACCACCAGTGCTACAATATGCAAGTGCCCCCTCAGCCTCTCACATCATACCCTGCTGTCCACACGGCAGCATGCCCACAAATAGGACCACTGCAAGAGCATGCACCCCAGGTAAGATGCCCAAAGTCTCAACCCTAAACTCTGCCAACCAGTTCAGCAGCTCTGGGTGCAGGCAAGGCAGCTGGGAGGCATTAGGAACCAAGCAACACATGGGAGAATGGAGTCCGGCAGTCCCTGTCCAGTCCTACCACTGCGCAATGTGTGAGGTGGTTTTGTAGATGAGAAACCACAACTTCAAGGACAGTGGTGCCCAGGACAGAAACACAGCACTGTCTGCATAGCACAGTGCAAGCACAGTTGGGCTGTACTGTGCACAAGAGCATGTGCAAATTGGAGAGCTGATCTGCATGAGCTCACCACAATTCATCACCAGTCATCATCCTGCACACAATGGGCTAGTCGCATGTTTCAGTGTAGACCTTAACCTGCGGTCTGTCTAGGCTTGCGCTCATCAGCAGTTTGAAAGCCACAGCCACAAGCCTAAACATAGCACAGTGTTTTAGGGATGACACTGAGCACAGGCTGCAAGGAAATACTTCCACCACCCTGTCCAGCCCACCTTGTCGGCTCGGTCACGCTGGACTCCATACTTTCCTCCAAATCCCTGGGCTGCATCCGTCTGCGAGGAATGCTTCCCAACATCAGCAACATACTCATGGCCGACTGCACACTGAGGAGAGAGAAAGCATGACATGAGCCCACATTTGTGGAGGACAGAGACGTGGAGCCACATAGGCATCTGCCCTGCTTCCAGTGTTTGCAGCCAGCAGGAGACAGACTCAAAGTAGCCTCACTGCCTCAGCCAGCACCAGCTCTGCTCTGAAACAGCTCATGGGTAGTCATCCCACACGGGCATCCCTATGGCCCCACTCTCAGCCCATCAGGCAGATATTAGGCTGACAAACACCTGCTGCGCGAATTACAGCTAAGCTTAATGACAGGGGAACCTGAGGAGAAAAGTGCAGGCAGACACACAGCCAACCCCCGCCCTGCCCCGGCTCCTGGTTTGGCGCATGCTGCCTGGGGGCGGCACTGACCCTCACTCTCAGACACATAAAGCAGGCCTGGCTGGGATCATCCCTGACTGGCCTACTCCTACCCAGGCCAGGGTGCAATGCTCCCTGGCAGCATGGCCAGGACCACTTGCATCCTCAGGACAAAGGCTGGAGACCAAATGACTGCAAACTCTGTGCACTGGACAAAGTAGAAGCTGCTCAGCAAAAACATCCTTGCACTGCTCTGCAGAGCCCAACCATGGCTATTCTACTTTGACCCGCTAGAAGTCTCTTTCTCACTCCGCCACTCTGGCAGTATGCATATCTACCCCTGTGTTAAATACTATTGCAGTCTTACTACCTCACCTTTGAAAAGGTGTATTAAAAGCAGAACTGTACAGCTAGAAGTGTGACAAAATATGTGGACTAGAGCTTCATCCTGGGGAAACAGGACAGAGATCTGCAATGAAGAATGTGTGTATGGGATTATTAATCATTATTTCTCTAAGCACAAGTATGGAGGGGCACCATATTTAACCATTATGCAACATATTTGAAACAAAAAATCAGAAAGCCCTCCTTCACAGCACCTAAGTCAGCCAAGAGGAGGGTTGCAAGAAAGCTACAGAGGCAGATCACACAAATGGGTTTAAAGAGATCCTGCAGACATACCAGGGGGTGACCTAAACATGCAAATCTATGGAGCCATGCCAACTCTCCATTCCCTCCTGTGACGATCAGACAGCCAAAAGACAGGGATGCTCTTTCCATTATGAAACAAAGAATTTTTTCCACTGAGTACAGGAAAGCTCTTGAAAACAGTTACCTTGTCCATTCGGTCCTGTTCTGTCCCAAATTTGCCTCCATAGCCATAGGATGCCTTGGGGCCAGTTTCCAGCTCCTTCTTCTTGATGACCTCATGTTCTTCTGACACCTTGCTTCTCAGCTGGTGGATGCTGGCAAGACAGAGAGGACCAGACCAGGGCAAGTCACTGTGTTGTCCTGCAGACCTGTGCAGCTGCCCAGAGCAGCCCCTAGCTGCAAAGCTGGCCAGAGCCCCATGCAGAGCATGATGCAAACCCACCACCAGCAGCCCCCACTTGCTCACAGCTACTCCCTCTCTGGGACAGTCCCACACCTGAGGCCACTGCACCATGGTGGGGGATGATGCTACCCTGTGTCCTGGGGAAGGACATGGAGAGATCTGCTCAATGAGCACATCCTTCCTCCAGCTCACAGCCTCCATTCACAGCTACGCCTTCTCTTTCATGGAGGCCTATGTTTTCCTGGGTGCTACAGAAATAATGCAGAAGGTAGCACTGTCGGGTCCCCAGGGAACTGCTGGATAGGGGCAGCTTTAGACAGAAAGTCTTTGCCATGGTAGAACTAGCACATCCCCTCCTGCTAGCTGTCTCTTACATCATCACAAAATTGTTGAGGTTGGAAGGTATCTCTACAGATCATCTGGTCCAACCCTCCTGCTCAAGCAGGAGCACCTAGAGCATGTGGCACAGGGTCGCATCCAGGCAGGTTTTAAAGATCTCCAAATCACTTTACCCTCGCCATACTCTGCTCAGTAGATATTCAGGGGAATACATGGCAAAGTCACTTACAGCTTGACTTTGTGTGCCTTCTATTTTCTGGTGGTCCTACAAAATTAACTCTTAGAAGCATCACAGGCAGTCTGTGAATTTTGCCTTTTAGTGCAAAATTGGCCAACAAACCGAGAGCCAGCATGGCAGCAGACATGCCACCTGAGCTGCAGCTGGCAGCAGGCAAGGGCAGCAGTGGGCTCCCCACCAGGGATGAAGCCTCCACCACCTTCCTCGGCCAGTGACACATCCCAACAGAGCAGCTGAGCACCACCATGCAGCCTGCCGAGTACCAGGGGCCTCCCTAGATCCCAAGAACCCATAGGACACAGCTGGGGGTTAAGGGGGCACCCCTGCAGGCACTGTTCCTCCCCTGCCCGGTTCTATTTTGCACATGGCCATATTTGGCTGGTTTTTGTTTGCAAGCAAAACCACCACTTCCGTTTCCTGTAACTAGATGATCCAGCCCAGCCCCAGGAGTGTGGCGGCCTCACTCACTCGATGTGCTCAGCGCGGCCAGAGCCCTCAATGGTTTTGGCTCCCCATCTCTGCTCCTTCTCCGAGATGTCGTTCTGCAAAGCAAAGCGCAGCCACGAGAGACCCTCAGGACAGACGGTCACCTTGCACGAGCACCCTATCCAGCAGCAGCCACTGGCCTTTGGAGCAGCAGCAACCTGCCCACAGCCCTCCTCGATCCCCATGACGGGACCCAGGCCCCGCTTCAGCCCGGCCTCCCACTCCCCTGGCATGAAGCTCTCGCCCACCTTCTTGGTGGCAGACCTGGGGTGGTCTTCTCCCAGGGAAGAGCTGGCACATGAAAACATTGTAAAAGTTAATTGCTTAGGAAAATACTAGAAAAACACCAAAATTAGCATTTTGCTCAATGCTAATTCAGTAAATTTACTCAGTGCTAACACAATATGGTTTCATTTTTGTTATGACTGCCCTCCCACCTCCCCCCGCTTTTTTTTAAGGTCTGAAAAATGAGGACTACCACAATTATGAGAATTAAACAAAGCAAATGAAGTAAAAAGAGAGGGGGGAATTTTGACTGCACTTTTTTGAATATAAACAATTTGGGGACTATCCTTCCCTCCCAAATAAGAGTTTCTTGGAATTTAGACAGTAGGCAAGGTTTAGACTCAACCCTCTAAAGGGCCCTAGCTGTGCCACGACAGAGGTTCTTCAGCAATAAATTGTCCTGGAAAGGAAAACAGAATCTGGGCAGCGGGGCAGGGACCTGCATGCATAATGCATGCCTGGCACATCTGCTGCAGGACACACTCCCAAGAAAAAGTTATGAGGAATGAGATATCAGTGTCATGAGATAGTAAAAAATCATCTAGGTTAACCAAATACAAGATGACAAAGACGGCGAGAAAAATCTTGCAATACCAACATGTGGTAAAATTGTAAATGAAGGCTAGCAAGTACAAAAACAAAGGCATATGGGAAAAAAAAATCCTAATGTTATCTATACAATGAGACTTCCAAAATGGTTATCATTGTTCAGGAAAGAGTAGGTATTACAGAGTTGGCCAAAAAGCTGAAATATAAATGAATTATTTAGAAAGGAATAGAAAACTGAACAGAAAACAGAAACTGTGACATTGTCTTAATCCAGAGAGTTCCTACAGCCTGAGCATTTTTACACTCTCACCATCTTGGCTAGAAAATAAAGGGAACTATAAATATAAAACCAGGCAACCCTGAGGCAGGGAGCTGCATCTCTACAGGGTGACCCTAAATACTGTGGGATTCTTGCATTTGGAAGAAACAAATAAGGACATTTTGGAAGCCTGTAAAATTCTAAACATTGCAGGAAAAATAAAATGCATTTTTTTAATAAAAGTACTGTGGCGAGTCTCTGCTCCTTTAGTGATATTACTGGTAATCAGATGCAAGATACACTGAGGCTCAAAGTTCTGAAGAGGAAATATAAATAGGGATCAGAAACAGCTTAGACTACATGGCAGTAAGCTGCCTAATAATGCAATGGAGTAGATGTGTCACTGGGCTGCAGCACCTGGGAGCAGGAGGTGTCCCGGGATCTGCTCCTGCTTCTTACAGGTTCCCCTGAGCTCTGCAGGGGCTGCACAAGGAATAAGTGCAACACGGCCTGCGGGCCAGCAAGCCCTTCATGCCACTCCCCTTGCCTCAGCTATCAGTTATCAAACCAGGCACTCACCACAAAATCAGGGTCAGTGTCCCAGTCGTCTCCCTGGGATTCAACCTTCACTGACATGTTGTGTCCCACGACTGCTCTCCACATCTGTGTACAGAGGACACAGCGTCACGCAGGGCTCAGCGCTCAGGCACCACCAGCTCCATGCCCACGGACAAGTGAAAGCTCAGCAGCTGTGGCAGGCCAGAGGTACCTTTGGGAGGCCACCCACCTCCACTAACCTCTACATCTCTCGCACAGCACCGGGCCTCCCAAACCTTCAAAGACCCACATGTCTTCCAGAAAAGAACAGGACTGTTAGGGGTAAACCCCAGTCCCAATGCACACTGACCTTGTAGTTAAAATATACATCTTATTTTAATGTAAATCAGTGCTAGCATCCAACCATCAGACTATGGTTTTCCAACATGTTACTTATTTTCTATGCTCTGGGACACTGTTCATAGCTTTACCTTGCCCATTTCTGAGCATAATCGTGCCATGCTGTCAGAGACCAGTGCTTGCTCTGACATCACAACACAACAGTGATCTATCCCACGTCAAACTCCTGAATTCCTTTGTCTTTTTTCTAAGCTTTTAATCAGTGCCGGGCAGACTAGAGAAGGTCCACAGAAAAGCTGTCTGTTAGTCTTACAGTATCAGTACCACGTGCTCTCTGGTGTTTACGTCTGTCTTTCTTACAGTCAGAATAGGAAATGAGGCTAAAATCCTTTAGTGTGCAAGGTGAAAGGGCTGAAGCTGCCACTCCACAATTTACACAAGCTGCCCAAAGAAACCTGGAGGAAGTAACAGGCTCAGGAACAGGAAGTTAAATGAAACCCATATGAAATCCAGAACTGCTGCATTTCATTTTCAAGGTGACCGAAAAAAAAAAAAAAGGTAATGAAAAAGCCCTCTCAAACAGCAGAACTTCTAAAGAATAAGAAGCAGAAGGAAGTCACGTTACATGCCCTGCCTCCCCGCGCAAAATGGATTCCTCATTCTCTGCAGAGCTCTCATTTCACACTTCCTATTACTGCCTGTGTGAATTGAGAAGCACCAAATCTTCATCCCTCAGCCTGAAGGAGCTTTTCATCAGGGCAGAAAGGCTAAGCAATGCATACAGTGAAGACCAAGGTAGCACAGGAAGCTACTGAGTTCACTTCTGAAAGTTTCAAATAAACCCGTGCCCAACACAAAACAAAACAGGGCTGTGACAGATCCTCATATAGCAGTGTGTTTTCTTTGTGTGCTTAACTACCCCAACTCAGGGCCAACCTCACACTAGCTCCAGATTTACCCCAGGCACTCACGACAGCTGCTTGCTGTGTTTATACAAGCAAAACACTTGCACTCAGGGGGAAATCGCACAACCACTGCTGTCTTAAGCAATAAACTTCCAGCCAGTTCACTGCACTGAGCTTCACAAGCTGCCGCTAACAACAGTTTGAGAGTCAGCACCATCTAACCAGGGAGCCAAGACCACAGGAACTGAAAGCATAGGAGGGACAAGTCTTTCTTCTGTTAAGCAAAAGAAATCAGCATGCTTAAGGCGATGTAGGACCAAGGCAGATTTACAGTAAAGATGTGGCTTTAGGCCTTCTCTGGGCTGCACCAGAAAAAGATGGTGTCAAACTGCAGAGCACAGCAAGTCTTGTTGTGAATCATGGCACTTAAGTAGCAACATACCCTGAGACAAACAACACTGCAAATAAAAGCAGGTGGAGCAGGAGAGCTAAACAGACAAAACAGCACTCTAAAAATACCTTTCATCTCCCCTTCCCCTCCAGTAACCTGAGATGTAACTGCGTGCAGGGCAGTAAATGGCTCCTGAACAACTGCTTCCCAAAGCCGGCCTGGCACTCTGCATCCTCGCTTCCATGACAAAGCTCAGCCTCTTATCACCTGGCAAGGGTCCAAGCACCCGCTATAAGGAGAAAGACCAGGTATGGTAGTGTCTCAATCCTTTAATTTGTCCCCCTCTCCCGGTAGTATTCACTATCTGTGCACAAGCACAGTGTACTGCTGTGCGTAACTGCACTCATTAACTCGGAAATGTGGTTCTTGAGAGTCTTAAACAAAAAACCAGCAGCAACAACCAAAATGCTGTCTAAAAGCAAATGCCAAGCACCATCTGGCAGCCTCTTTGCCCTCCTACCAAGCAACCATTTCTTTGCTGCTGTCACTCACTTTCTGCTCTCAAAACCCCTTCACGCTCCTACCTTGAAAGGTCCCCAGGCTTCAGTTCACAAACTTGCTGCTTTTTGCCCAAGCACCTGTTGCAAGCCCCAGTTCTGGCTTATGGCACCCTCACAGTTCCTGTTTTAACTTCAACTAATTCACTTCCTGCCTCCCAGCCCCCAGCTTTCTGCTCAAGTTGTGAGCACCAAACCCTGCGCTCGCGCCCTGCACTTCCCCACGCACAACAGAAAACTGGCAGCAAGCAAGCCCTGGACACAGGTGCTCTGAGCACATTAGCAGGGCTTGGTAGAGCATAGTCACATTTGTTAATGTGTAAACCCAGATCACCATCTCCACAGCTTTACCTGCTGTGCCATTGAGTGCTTACATGGCTAAAGCCCAAATTTGCCAATTACAATGAGAACTTACGTGAGAAAGCTGCAGCTTACAGAAGTTAAGGAATTTGTCTGATTACACCACAATTAAAATACATTTATAAACACATATGCACATGTTTTATGTCATACATGTGTGTAAAAATATATATGCAATATCCATATCTATGCATGTATACATAAACACACACATAAATCAATAAGAGCCTCCAAGACTCTTGGAAAAAAAAAAAAAAAGAAAAAAAGGAGGGTGGAAAGGATGTGGTCAAAGGATCCCAAGCATTTACAGACGTTGGTACATTGCTCATGGCATAAAGCGCATGGTTTTAGAGTAAGTAGCAGAATTACACTAGTTTGGTAATAAAATATCTCAGCAACCAACATAGGTTCAGTCAAACAAGAGATGGAACAAGCTGTTGAATTTTCGAAGTGATTACCAGGTAGAATTTTAACATCTTTCATTATTTCATTAGATCAAACCACAAAATTGTTAGGTCAGACTATAATTATAACCTCAGGAGTACCTTTGGGGTTTTGTTTCCCCTCCTCATCAAAGGTCTAGTTGCTTCTTGCAAAAGTATGAGATATTCAAACATCTCTGAGCCAGCAGAAGGTTGTCTTACAATGGAGGCATGTGCCAAATTCAGGTACTGTGTAGTAAACTGGTACCATGAACTTTAAAGAAATGCACTTGGCTTTTAATTCTTTCTTCTCTTAAAAGCAGTGGAAATATCATCCACAGTCTAACAATGTCATATTATTTAGCTTCAGTCTTCAGTGAAAATGGAGCTCTTGGTGAAAATGGATGATATTACAGCCTGTCTTTGGCTCTAAATATTCATGGACATTATGTTTTAACTCTTCTCAAAGTTAGCTGCACTTTTCTAGTTTGCTCTTGGTAACTCCTGTGACTTTCCTAGGGTTGCATGATCCTAATGGGATCCAGAATTTAGTTCACTCTGCCTAAAGGCTATTACAAGTGAAAACAAGTAACCTTCAGTTTTATTATTGCTTTGCAACGTTGTGGAAGAATTGCTTGAAAGGGACAACTTAGAGAAAAACTAGGGCCTAACAGAAGTTTTGGCATTACAGAAGCTTGCTTGGGGTGACACCCATCTGCCACTTCCGGGATAGTTGGTAGGCAAGGACTCTGCTCCTCTATGGTTCTCTGGGCAACACAATCTGCCCTCCTCACAGCTGCAAAGGGGAGTAACGGAGGATGGAGTGGAGTGAAGACACCACGGCCAAACTCTGTTGCACTCCCTGTTCTGGACTGCTGATAAGCCGCACTGTAGCTGTCCAATGGGAGATACACGATAACATATCCAATGCTGAGCCAGCAAAGGTGGCAAATCACTCCTTTCGGATGAACTTTACTTGAACTTTGCTCCTTATAAGCTCATTATAATGTCAAAACACACCTCCATCCCAAAAGTTACCCACCCCCGAGGTACGACCACTCCTTACTGAGCATCTGCTCTAGATTTTCAATTGACTGTACCTTTCAATGAAAGTGAGAAACTTTTTCACCAATCAATAACAATTAAGTATGACTCTAGTCACTCAAGCTCCACCTGAATGTAAAGAAAAGTATAAAAGGTGAACTAAGGATGAAAAGGAGGAGGGAAGAAACCATTGTAACTCCTGGGTCAGTTGACAGGCTGAGGCCCCTTCCCTCCCCTCAGGTTGGGACGCTGCCTGAGGAGACTAAGGAGGAAGAAGGAAGAAGCCATTGTAACTCTTGCGTCAGTCAACGGGCTGATCCCCCTCTCCTCCCCTCGGAGTGGAATGCAGCCTGAGGAGACTCGAGACTGAGCGCCCTTTCCCATCTTCTGGAGTGAGTGATAATTGCACATTTGTACAGCACAGCTAGTGAAAAACCCCACGCTCTAGTAGAGAATTTCCTGTACTGACATCTGAAACCTGCTTTGGAAATGTTGCATTTGAATAAATCATACTGCTTGTGAACTCGGCTACTTGTTTGGGGGGAGGCGAGCGGACCTACAGTTGACAGACTGTTCGTGAATCTAATACTGCCAGAGTCGAGCTTATAGTTGATGACACTATTTGGGAACTCGATTCGCTCCTAGGAAGGCGACTGGACCTACGGTCCACAGACAGTTTGTGAATCCAATACTGATTTGATATCTCCTTCCCCCCCCACCACCACTACAGCTTTCAAACTACAACATTTCACAAACGTGACGTGTTATTTCCTTTTGTCAGTACAGCAGAAGCTGAAAAAGGCTGAGAGGTGAGAATGGAAAAAAGACCATCAACATGAGACACACAGATCTTCTACAACCAACACACAAGAAAGAGTACCCTTAAAAGAACTACAGTCTTACAGTACACCCATACAAGTTATGATACAACAGCATTACCTCCTTGAGATATCTCTGACATACACATAATGACATTAAAAAGCTTGCATCTGAAAAATAATCTTTATTATATACAGAAGCACGTATCCTAAGAAACTATAGGTAAAGTACTTGGTCACGCCATTTTATGTAATTGAGGAATACAGGA